ATTAAATAAACCTAAATAATGAATTCGATTTCTTGCGTGCAAAGATATAAATGTTAGTAAATTTAATAGGGTTTGAACTATTTAATTAATGATAATGCTCTCTTTTCTATGTTAAAAAAGTAACGAATGAAAGAGCTATAATGAAGGCTTTATACGGGATAAGAGAAGGGACAAAGCAGATTAAGGAAGGCTTAGTTTGACAGATAAACTAGGGTTTGTGTATGAAAAAGGAAAAGGTGGAGAGATTCCTTTGGGTCCGATTTGATTTGGGATGTATGATGAAAAACGAGAGATTCCATTTAGATCAAAGAAAATTCAACTATATTTGCCTGAAATTGAAAAAGTTTCTTCCCACTGCCATCATCCCACTGAAGAATTAAAAGCCGGTGGATGTAGAGTCCAGCTTCCACCATCCCCTCGGATTTGACGTATCGATTGGCCTTATCTTCGGTCCCCCAGCTATTTGTAAATATGTAGTTACAGAATTTACAAATGATTAGAATTGGATCAAAGTTGATAATGTTAATTATTATATGGCGATGCACGTAATCATATTGATTTACCTTTACTATTTGGTTTCCATCAAGTTCACCAACTGTTTGTAGATATTACAAAATCAATCAAACTATATAGCTCTTAATTAACATGCTAAACCCTAATTGTCATGAGTGATATAAGGCCTAGGGTTATAGATGGTCTAAACCAACCATGATGAACCAAGCTGCGAAGTGCCTGAATCATTCCATTAACTAGCAATCTTAAAACTTGATCGGTAGTAATTTGTGTTTACGAATCCACCTTTTAAGAGTGATTTGATTGAGTTAAGTGAGGTTGGATATTTGAATTATACCGTTGAGTATGAAAAAAATTATAGTGAGATAGACGTCCTCACAATGAACCTTTACAATAACCGAATTCAGATAAATATATCGATGAATTGTATATCGGTAATTATATATATAAGAAGTTAAAAGAATATGAAACATACGTTATGGTGAGCAAGGCAATCAATGAGAACATTGGTAGTAGATAAAGCATAAAGGAAAGATTATTCATCCAGGAGAAACTAAAAGAAAAAGAAGAAAGTGAAAAGGGGGCGTGGGGTTTGGGCTTTATTGGCTTCGTTCTTAGCGTTTAAATGGATGGAACAAGCCATGTAAGGCCAGCAACCCAACCAGGCTAATGGAAAAAGAAAAATAAAGTGAAATGTGTTGGAGATCCCGAGGAAGAAATCACCTTGCACTCCTCTCTACATGACAAATCCCATCCAAACATCAAAAAGGAAGATCCCCAAAGATCATCCGATGACTTTTCTAAATCAACAAAGGCACATGCGTGTATCCATTGCTGCTATGAAACAAAAGCTTTGGTGATAAGTTCCAGGTTCTAGTTTGATATGTTTAGTCAGTTAAGCACCCATACAAATATCACAAAACTAAATCAAACCCATTTTTGCAGATGAAGTTTGAGGAATGAACTCATATTTTCCAAATTTCTTTCTAGAAATTCTACGGGCGTCATTTTTCATAACAAATAAGAAAAAGTCAATGCTCAGATAAATGTAAAAATCAAACAGCATACTCACCGTGAATTTTGTTCAATACTTTCCAGTTCAATACATTCTTTAATATAGTCCGTAGGAGTGGAGTGGGGCGCAGTCATCGATTGTGGACTCCAAATGAATGAACAGTGAGTAAGTGGCTAAAGGTGAATAAGACACCCAAAACCAAGTACATCAGAAATTCAAGAACCCTCAAGTTACAGTTATTAAAGCCAAAAATCTAGTTTATCTGAGGCTCATACTCTACTAGCTACCAGAGTGAATAAAATTTATTTAGCTGCAGTACAGGCAGTTGCTGCTGCTGCTGCACCGGTGGTATTGTTGTATGCAGCATGCGTGTTTAAGGGCTAATTATAGTTTAGAATTGGCATCAAATTAACATTAAAAAGATTACAACCTTTTTCTGAAATGAATACAGCATTCTAAATCATGTTACTAGCACTACCCCCCTGATGGGATGGTAGACCTTGTCCTCTTGCAGTGTCCTCTTTTGTAGGTCCAAAAATATTGAAAATCATATCCAGCTTGGGGATCATACGCCTGCTATGAAACATGACATCATAACATTCCATTGCAAGTGGCATTTATTCATAAGATCATATTTAGCAAGGGCATCTGCTATCTTGTTTCTTTCCCTGGGAATTTGAGTTAGGATTACTCTCCAATTTCGTTTCAGTAATTCATGTATTCTTTGCACCAAGCTTAGCTGTCCACCCGAGTGGTTGTCTCCTTCTATCTCTTCAAGAGTTGCCGTGCTGTCTGTCTCGACGATTACTTGTCTCTCTCCCCATGCAGTTTGAAGTCCCTCATACAGTTTTGCTTCCAACGTTGAACAAATTCTAATATCTCTTGCATATGTCGGTTTCCATTGTCCTTCGTTATCCCGAATTACTAATCCACATGTGCCCACTCATGTCCTCTGATGTCTTCCTCAATCTGAGTTTACTTTGCACCACGCTAAGTCCGGTGGAATCCAATTCGTTGTCCTACTCTTCAGGATTCTGTTGTCGTGAGATTTGACTGCTATTTTGGCTTTAGTGATTTCCCGGGCGAGTCGTATTCCTTAATATAATAATATATTTTTATTGTTATAATTATATTATTATAATATATAATATTACATTTTTATTTTAATATTATATAATAAATTATTAATAAAATTAATATTATTTATTAATTTCATAAAATAAATATTACTGAATTGTTTAATATTTAAAATATACTCCTTAAAGTATAATATAACATTCTTATTTTAATATTTTAAAATATTATTATTTTAATAAGTAACTAATATAATTAATAATATATTATTCTTTTTTTAATAAATAATTAATATAATTTACAATAATTTTATTTTAATAAAATATAATATTTTTATGTATGAAATTGTATATATAATATTTCAATAATAATATTGACATAAATAATAATAAATAAATAATTTAATATTTTAAAAATAATATTATTATTTTGTTAATAAATAATATTATTTATTATATTTGATGCTTATAATAAAGATTTTTAAAAAAAATTCAAATAAATAAAAAAATGAATTATACAACACCATCTTACCACTGTAAAATAATTTACAAAAAATAAAATTTATTTTTCTTGAAATAAATTGATCCTTTTAGTTTTTTCCACCTTATCCAACATGTTTATTTACTAATATATAATTAATGCATGCTCCAACACTCGTACAAAAGGGCAGTAAAGCATCAGATCACTGTTTGTTCATATGTTTTTACTTTTGGGAAGCCTTTAGATGCTGGAAAAAGCTGCAGAGTTCCGAGGTGTTTTTTAAACAAGGATTTTTCACTTTCTGCTTTTGCGTAAAGAACAAATTTGCCTTAGAGTTGAGGGTTTCGTTCGTATTTGTTACCTAGCGTTTTCAAACAAACTTGATCAAACATAAAACCTATTTTTCAATTAAAATTTATTATTATTATATATAAAAGAAAATGAGATAAACATATCACCTGTTTGGGTTGAAAGTTCAATTCAAACTAAAATGTTGGGCCTGACATCCATATTGAGTTTCAAATGAAGAAAACACTGAGCTTGTTCATGCAGTTTCATCTCTTGGCATTTGATCATATAATTGTTGTTGTCCGTCTGAAAAGTTTGTTGGTTTGTTGGGTTTTTTTAAAAAAAAATTGGCCGCTAATGCTATTGTATCATTCATCATTTTCTTCAATGCTCCCTTTCGCCTTGATTTGGTCGGTCTCTGTTAGATGTATCCCTCCTCAATTGAACATCAGAAAGATAAATCACATGTTTGATGGATATATTAATTAAAGTTAATTCATGAATCTTAAATATATTCATATATAATGGATTTGTTATTCTATTATAGATAAGTGGTTTTGAGAAGACTCCGTATGAGTGATAAAAGTACGAAAGAGAGTTGAACAATCGTGTTCTTTTTTAATTCATTTTGTTTTTAAAAATCCAGTAGCTAGATAAGGCCCTTGCCTTTCTCTTTTAATTCAATTTTTTTTGGCTGCAGTTCTAACATATTGAGAAATCATATAATTATTGAGATCGTATCTAGATATTATTGTATGGTATATAGTTTCTTTCCTTATTAAATTAAATATTTTGATAGAATGGGTTTTTATAATCCATATAAGATCAATCAATTTAGTGGTTAAAGAAATCGTCGTTGTTCCTAAAAGTCACGAGTTCGAGCACCAACGACTACTGCAGGTGATTGAACATCAATTTTCAAATGATTGAGAGTATTTAGAGCATATAATACTTTGTAATCACTTTCACTTGATAAAAAATATTTAAGATTAATTTATTGAGAGGAAGTTTTTTTAGAGTTATCAAATTTAAATAATTATTTCTACAAGATATATATATATGAATTATCAATGATTAATTTTTTTTTAAATAAATATAACTTATAATTACTAAAATGCATTTAAGATGTCCCGGTGTGTAATTGTTATTTACCCAAAGTCTTCGTTAACATATTCTCATATCTGTATAGTAATTAATGGATGGTTGACTTTTATTCTGGGACATATGTAAATAAACTATACTAGGAAACATGACACCACCGCCTGTAGCTGCGAACTGGAGCCTTTGGATTAATTTAAAGAGGGACGTCTTTATCATCATTTGTCAATTTAAATTTTTAATTTATTTTCATTTTCATTTTTTATTTTTATTATTAATTATACATTAAAAAATAAAAATCGTTTTGTTTAAGATGGTTATAAGGTATGGCCTGGTTGTTAAAGATTTGATTTTTATTCATTCAGAAAAGATTTGTCTTTTATAATGAGAGTAGACTACATTTCACGGCCAATGGTTTATTTTTAAAAAATATATATTTTTAATAAGATGAAATAATTACTATTATCGATACAAATATCTGAATAAAAGACAAGAAAAAATTAAAATGAAAATCGAAGAAGAAAGACGCGCGATGCGATGGAGCGTGAGAGTAAGTGCAGGCGAAAATTAACGGGGCGGCTAGCCGGCTAGGTGATTGAAGAGAGAGAGAGAGAGTCTACGGCAGTATTTCTTAAAGAAGAATTTACTGCAAGGGTAAACTATGGCAATAGTCCCTTTAATTTTCAGTTTGACCGATTTTGGTCATTGATTTTTTTAATTGAATGTGTTTGGTCTCTTACGTTATCGGTTCATTTGATTTAAGCCATTCGACATTTTAGTTTTTTTTTCATTATCAACTCAGAATGCTGTTAACCAGTTAACAGAAGTTAACAACCGAGGTACTTAAACCGAACAAATCAATAACGTAAACACACACCCTTCGAGGAATCTCGGAAAGGAAAGTTGTTTCTTTTGATATAATGTAGATGTTGTAGACCATTATTTAAATCCATTAGCTGATTAGCACCTTCCTGTGTTCATTTGTTCTTTGTTTCACATAAAGAATCTAATTAGCCGGCCCAGGACAGGTCTAATTCTTTCATGTTCATTAAGCACGTTCTCGGACTATTCCGTTGCATATTAATTTCTGTCATTCTATTTCGTTATATGCATCTTCCTTTACTCTTATTCTTCTTTCCTTTTCTTATCAAAATTGATTCTTTATCAGAAAAGCTTTTCTTCCATGATCTTGTTTTGTGAAGTGTTTTTACTATATGAAGCATGAAAGTTGCAAAAGTAGCAAAAAAATGAGGTGACTAAATCTTCTTTTATTTATTCTGTCTCCTGACTTAATGATTCTGCATTAGAGTGGATTTGGTATAGATTCCCATTTTGTGTTTCTAAAACAAATGCCTTGAAAATCTTATTTGTTATCCGTTTGTGCGAAATTTGTCGTTGCAGTCCCAGCAGATTCATCATGCTCATGTGATGGCAATGCTTCCTACTCGTGTTCCGCTGCCACTGGACGTTAAAGAAGATGAACCGATATATGTTAGTGCAAAGCAGTATCATGCTATTCTCAGGCGGAGACAATATCGTGCAAAGCTCGAGGCTCAGAACAAACTCAAAAAAGTTCGAAAGGTATGTATGTCTCTTTGAGGTTTTCCTCGTTGCTGGTCAATGCACAAGAACTGTATAAGAAGCTATTTTACGAATGTTTCGCAGCCGTATCTGCACGAGTCTTGTCATCTAAATGCGTTAAAAGGAGCTAGAGGGAGCGTTGGTCAATTTCTCAACACAAAGAAATTCCAACAATCCAGGTCACCTCAACTACATTTGTCTGCAAAAATCTCCAAAACAGAAGTTTATCAGCGGGCAAATTTCAAGGTTGCTGCTTCGGCTACCCCTTGCTCTGATGTCACAAGTGGCTCCAACAGTGATGAAATGTTTCAGCAGGCAGATTTGAGGTTCTCTAGCTATCCTCCTGATCAGGTCATGCCGGCAATATCCAGGGTGATGGGAACATTCATCTTTCTGGTCTCGGCTGATAGACAAGATCGATTCTTGTTTGAGCAGTCCGGAGCCGATGAAAAATACGGCTGCTTTGCTCCCATGGGATGTCATCCTTGGCTCTGTTTAGTTTTACTTGTCCTGTCAGCACAGACTCTTAATAAACCGTGAACATTGTGGCCACATTATTTTAACATAATGCATGCCTTGCCATACATTTGAGATTCAATTGCATGTACTGTCGGTAACATTAACATTTCCAGTTTGATATGAAAACACGAATTAGAGAAGGTTCTCTACCTGATTTCGAAGCAATGATTGTTTGGATTATGCTGTAACTGGGCATCTTCAATTTCAACTCGACTACCAAAAAATGACGGCTCCGAAGAACAAAGTGGAATCCACAAATTGATTGGTTTTGGATAATCGAATTCAGTTCCCTTCTCACAATTATACTTGACCCGATTACTGAACCCAGTTCTACATCCGCTTTCTAGCTCCCCTTTAAGTCCGCCATCGAATTTGAAAATCACCGCTCTCTCTTCTCTTCGGCCGCCAGCAGCGAAAGAAAACACCTTCGCCATGAAAAATTCCAAGTCTTCCTGGGCGCTTTTCTTCAACCATCGGGAAAATGAATAATTTACAGAAATCTTTCCAGCACTCCTTCAAGTATTAAAAAAATCATAAAACATTATTATTTTTAAATATATCATGAAATATTTTATAAAACTGAATGAATGATAACTATTGGACGATAAATGTTTATATATTTGTGTGATATTCAATTATAAGATTTTAATAGATAATAATAATCTCTTAATCACGCTTGATTCATATTATGATATTTAAATTTTTAAATGATTATTCTGTAGTAATTACAAGACAACATCTATTCTAAGATGGCTTTCAACCTCTTAATATTAAACGTTCTGACGTTTTCGGTGCTCGAACCCGAATCTTAAAAAACAATAAATGTTTCTTTACCACAAAAGCCACTCGGTTTGTACCTTAATTTTATTAAAAGTATTATTAGAAGTTTAATATTATACTATGATTTATGATCTTAACGAGATCGATCGATACCAATTAATATTTCTGACTAATGCTTGAATATTTTACTATAGCAAAATATTTCATAAATCCAATTTTTAAATATGTAAATATTAAAATATTTAATGCTTTGTAATTTTTTTTATTAATTTAGGGCAATTACCAGTGGTAGTATATGTTCTAAAAATTTTCAACTACTTAACAATGAACGCTCCAATATCCTATAATTGTTGAATTTCAAACCTCAGACTTCTAAAGATAACAATCATGTTTTTAACCACTAAAATCACTACATTCGTGATATTTAATATTTTGTTGAAATATATAATTTATATCATAATTTATATATTTTACTAAAGTTTATAACAATTAGCAACGGATCAAAATTTATAATAACATTTTTTTAGAAATTATGCTACAGTATTTAAAATGTTGATAAAGATTGAAACTTTTCACATACATTTTTTAAAGAATATAGAGTAGAAGTTCACCTAAACCATTACTAGGTTAAATGCATCTATTAGCCCGTGGGGAAGTAACAGTGTAGTACAAAATGGACCATATTAGTATTATTTGCAGTTTCCAGTGTGTTTGCCCAGAATTATGGATTGCTTCTAAAAGATAATATAAAGTAAGCATGGATTACTGGCTGTTAAGTTACAAGGTCTCAACTGAGCCAGTTGTAAAAATACGAGATGTAGTAAAGTCCACAACTAATTAATTAAGAACATCTGATTCTACCAACAATATGATGGTCTAATAAGATGAGGCACTAGATCTCTTTAAGTAAAGTTAGATGTTTGAATGCTGAATTTTGGGTTGAGAAGATCGCCCTTATCTGTGCAATATTATATATGGATTAGTCAGTCAATAAATCATATATCAATGATTTATTTAAAAAAAACATGTGATTCTCCCCATCCATATAAATATTTATAATTCTATTCTTATTCAAATTTATGATTAATAATTATGGTTTGATCTTATTTGTATTTAATACTTAACTTTTTTTTTCAATTTACTTTTAGATTAATATATTTACTCAATTTATTCAAAATGAAAATACCAATAAAAGCATGCACTATATATATTAACAAAATTAGATCAAAAATGATATTTTGAAAAATACATTGAAAAGAATAGTGATTTAAATGGTAAAAGATAAATTAAAAAATAATTATCAATTCAATAATAAGTTGATTTGGTAAGATGAAACATTAAATGTTTTAAGTAAAATCAAGAGTTAAAAACTTAAAACTCTCATGTTATAAATGAAATAAACTAGATTGAAAGAATGGTCTTGTAATAAATTTCTACACAAATTTATTTAAGATGTGAAATAGAAAAAAAAAATGATTGAAGTTTAGAAGCTAAATTAAGAATAAATCCATTAGTTAAATGCTCCAAAATTCCCTATTTCCATGTCTATCCAAATCTGATCAGCTGAGTTAGGTATTGAGATAGACCCACCACAAGAAACGTTACTATCAGCTGCTGGTTAAATTATAAACAAAAAAATATGGTAACTTCATGCTTTTGCAAGACTTGCAGTAAAATCAACAAAAAAAGAAGCCCTAGATTCCATCCACATCAACTCCCCCATTATTCCAACCCCTGAAAAGATAACACTGTAATTTTTATTATATCGAAGGAGATTTGTTCTGAAGTAAGAAATTTGGTGACAAATGGAAGGAAGCAAGAAAAAGTCAGATAAACACGACACCATAAATTTATTTAAGAAAATCCTTTAATATTTAGAGATATTCATCCTCGATTTCATTATCAAAGATGTTAATCCATGATTAAGCATGGTGGAAAAGAAATAAAGATTCATATTTCAGATTAAAAAGAAGTTGCACCCAGATTTACATTCACCAGCAGGCTAACTGAGAAAGAAGGAACGTGATTTAGGCAAAGATGAAAGAGAACCCAGAAAGAAGAAAGAAACGATTACATCAAGCTATCCTGGTTCTTAGCTGAGAGCCGTTTCAAGAACTCATAAGTAGTGATAATCGTTGTTGCAGACATGGACATAGACGCCCACCTGGGCCCTAGCCCTCTATAACAAGCCGACCATCCACCTTCTTTAATCAGATTCCGAACAGTTTGGCCAACTGTGGGTCCACGCCTCCCATTCTCTTCCCCATCCAGGACTTGCAGTCTAGTCTTGATCGTGTCCAGTGGCATTGTAATCAAAGCTGATACCCCTCCGGCCATGGCCGCACTTATTCCCTGAACAGCCATTACCGTCTTCGTATCCGGCTTAATCTTGTTACTATTATTACTCTCATCATCTTTCTTCCAAATGTAGCGTCCGATGCCTCCCCAAACGAGCCTCTGAGCGACCGAATAAGATGCCCACCACACTGCATTCGATGGAGCATACGTTAAAATCGATATCCCAAAGCCTCTGTACAACCCCTTCGGACCATCCGTTCTAACTATTTTCCTAAACGCATCGATCCCATTCACATATCTACTAGGTGAACTGCAGCACGGGTGGGTTCCTTGAACCATTAACCTCTGGCTGACCACATCGACCGGGGTCCAAACAAGCTGTGCAGCCATTGCAGCGCTTAATCCGGCAGCAGCGTTAGCAATTGCCGCCGCGGTTGGTTCGGGAACACCCAAGTTAACCGTGGCACTGCCTACATTACTTTTGGTAACCTCAAGAGCTGCCATGTAAAGAGCTCGAGCCGGGATTGTCCCCATTAAAGAAGTACCGAATCCGCGGTATAAAGCCCTCAAACCTTCGTGTTTAACGATGGAAAAGGCGGTTCGGATACCAGAAAGTTGAGATTGAACCACTTGTTGCTTCGTTTTAACCAAAACTACAGGGTAAAGGGTGGCTGAAACACCTGAGAACAGAGCTGCACCTAAGAAGAAAAACTTGGATTTATCGAGCATTTCCCAATCTATATCGGCCGGGATATGAATCTCTTGAGCCGATTCTTCCTCGGCCACCCTTATATTCGTTTTTCCCAGTTTTAAAGATAGAACCCCCAAAATTCCTAATCAACAGTTTGACACCGAAGCCGTACAATCACCTCCCCCAAAAAAGAAAAAGAAAAAGAAAAGAGCCAACACCACCGCCGGAGTCGATAATAACCGTTTCGGATGAGATTAAGAGCAAAACAAAAGCAACGATGAAGGAACTTTTTTCCTCTTGTGGAACCAAATTCTGAATCGAACGTGAATCACAATAAACGGATCAATCATTTCTTTGGGTACACAGAAGAAAAAAAGAAATAAAAAAGATCTATCAAAGCATAATTACTTCGTTTACCGGAGATTCAACCACTGTAATCCCCGGCGACGGAACTTTTAACCGGTGAGAGAGAACTTCTTGATATAGCGGAGAGATTTAGAGAATAAGATAAGAGAAGTGGGTGACCGGAGATTAGAGGTAGAAAAAAGGGGAGGAAAGAGAATAGGACGTACAATTAAAGAAGGAGGAAATGACAATTGTCGGTTATGGATTGGCTATCTTTTAATTCAAATGGTTATTTGTTTATCCGTAGGGTTATGATTCTCTACGATTGTTTTGTTTGTATGAACTAAATTTAGAGCGTTTGGATGGCTGGTAAAGCTGGGGTTTTGATGGTGTCAACAAAATAAGAGTTCTGTTTATTCGTGCAGTGTAGGCTGTGATGCAGAGAATTTAAGCCGGTTGTTTTACGAAGGGAGACAATGTAACATGACGTGTAATCCATATCCATTAGAGCATGATAGTTATTTGGGTAAATTATACGGATAATTTTCATATATTTGGTCTGATCGATTTTGATATACAATATACTTAATTTTTTATGTTATTGGCTCAATCATTAACAGATTTAAAATTTTGAGTTGACAATTAAAAATATCATTCTTCTTCTTCTTTTTATCTTGTTCCTCTCTTCCTCGGCATGACACCTTCGGGGGGGAAAGAGAAAATTACTTTTTCTGTTTGCTTCTCGGAAATTCTTAGATATCGCTGGAAACTCAACCGATTAAAAAAGTATTCTTATTTACCAGTGGTAAGAGACTGGGACAATGTCGACAATCTTAAGGAACATGGGCATGGCGAAATCGAATTGCGGGTGAGGATGATTGCGCCAGTTGCCATTGTCTCTGGAAAAAGTATAATTGGGAGGGTAAAAATTGATTGCGGTGATGAAAATGAAAGGATTACCATTATGGATCACTGGCGCATTTGATCTCAAAACATTCACCACAACTGAACCTATTGTTGAAAAGAGCAGTGCTCAAAGCTGTTGTGTTGACTCCATACCCTTGGCTGTAAAGGTTTCTATAGCCACAAGCTCCACCTAAAAATCATTAAAACAAGGTTTAAAGCATTTTCTTGGTTTAAATAATAAAAAAGGAGAATTTTTTTTGAATTATCCATTGTTTCAGGGGCACACTGTCACCATAGAAAGTGGCATGAGTACTTTCCCGAGTGTCACCGGAGTAAACACCAAGGATTTTAGCTTCAACAGCTCGAAAAATGAGAAGCAAAGAAAGCAAGCAGGTAATACACCAAATTGTCGTATTTGACTAAAGAAACAGAGGGTAGAAAGCTCAAAGATGAATGGAGAGTGTGAGAGTGATATTTATGAAGTGGGATGTGAGAAAAAGAGAGGGAACATATAACCTGACTTTATAAAAAAAAGTGAAAAATATGGCAGATCCCAAATTATCATTATTACTTTAGTTAATGTAGTTTGGATCTCTTGTTAATTCCAGTAGTGTGATTGAAGAAGACACCCAGATAAGAAAATTATAAAAGTAAGGGTCTATTATTTTTCAGGTGATGATCGATTTTGGTAGCGGTGTCGTTCCATGTAAGAATAGTATGCTCAACTTGGACACCTACAATGGTGATGAGTTGCTTGTCTTTGGAAATGAAAACGGGTTGCTTGTAAATATTAGGTGCCACTTTATGATTGTTCGGGACTTGCTTTTGGATTGGAATGCGTCTATGATTTTGTATATTGTTTTGTGATCGACTTTGCAGTTAGTGGTCGCGGAAGTTGGTGATAGAATTTGTGAGTTTAATTTGAAATTTTAAAAAAAAATTAAGGGTTCAATTTACATTTTTTTAAAAAAAATAGGGGTATAACTCAATTTTTAAAAAAATTAAAAGCCTTAATAAGAATTTTTAAAAACAATGAGAGGGATTTAATTAAGAATATATAAAAAATTTAAAAATTAATATGAATTTCTAAAAATTTTAGAGTTCTAAATTATAATTTTTTAAATTTTTAAGGATTTGCGACCTCTACTAGTCTTGGCGACTGGGACCTAATGATTAACTTTGATTCTGGCATTGATCAAATAATAAAAACAACATTCTCTCTATCCAGGGTGGAATCCTTTACGGCTTAAAGGGGTCTGACCCTGTAAAATTATTTTATATTTGATAGATTTTGATCTAATAGTATTTTAGTTAATGTAAAAATAAGTATTTAAATTAAGAAATATACGAATTTATTAGATTTTTAATCAAGTAGGGGCGAACTAAATAATGATAATCCAATACCAACAATCGGTTAGTCTAGCGAGATGAGGCATTAAATCCCTTAAGCAAAGTTAGTGGTTCGATTGGGTTGAGAGGGTCACCCTCAACTCTGCAGTACCCGTTCCAAATTAGTTGAACAATATATTGAAAACCAGTGATTATACAAAAAAAAAAGAATGATAATTCAATGTTCTGAATTTTTTGTCAAATAAAATTTTAGGTCATTATAAATTTAATTATTAGATAAATTATACATTATTTTCTGAATTATAAATTTAAATACACAATAAATCATTATATTTTTTCTTTAATATTTCGATCTCTGTCTATATCTAATCCTAACACTATCCCTATATATGTGCGCATGAAATGTGCGTGTGTTATAGTGTGTTTTACTACTAAAAATGATGCAACGTGGATTTCTTTTTAATTTTTTATGGGATTCCTTTTTTTTATTTCTAATTATCATGTAACACTTTTGTTAAGGTGACAACTAAAGTTAAAAGTTGAGGGACTAAACTTAAATAAATTGATAATATAAGAGATGAAATGTAATTAATTTTTTAACCGATGATCAAGATTCATCAGATCGAATACATAAACAGTATTCATACAGTTTACCCCAATTACTTTGTTCTCTGTATGTAGGCGCATTCTAACCGTCATTTGTTAATATATGCCGATCAATTATTAATTTAAAAAGTGATTTAAGATTGGAAACCGATCAATTATTTTGTTCGTCCTCACCTCTATAATATCTGATCCGAATTAATTGACCAATAGATTAAAAACCGGTGGTTACAAAAAAAATGAATGATAATCTAATGTTCTTAGTTTTTTTTGTCTAATAATAATTTAAGTCATTTTAAATTTAATTATTAGACAAATTAGATATTATTTTCTGAATTATAAATTTAAATACCTAATAAATCATTTTATTTTTCTTTAATATTTCGATCTCTATCTATATCTAATCCTAACCCGTCCCTGTATTTGTTCGTATGAAATGTATGTGTGTTATAATGTGTTTTACTACTAAAAATGATGATGAAGAAGAACACGTGCAACGTGGATATTTTAAAAAAATTATGGGATTTTTTTCTAATTATCATGTAACACTTTTGTTAAGGCGATAACGAAAGTTAAAAGTCGAGTGATTAAACCCAAATAAATTGATAACCTAAGAGATCAAATACAATTAATATTTTAACTAATGATCAAAATCGATCAGATCATTTGTTAGCATATGCCGATCAATTATTAATTTAAAAAGTGATTTAAAATTTTAAAATAAGACTTTTAATGGAAATGATAAGAAAATAAGAAAAAGGAAAATAATTATTTAAGAATATAAAGTATTTTTTAACTATTAATACTCGTTTTAAATATTTTTTAATTAAATTAATTAAAATTTAACCAACCAAAATTAATACTCGGTTAATATATTTTTTTACAAATATTAAACACATTACTATTAGAATATGATTTTTTTTAAAAGAAAATATTTTGAAATTATAACCCTATTGAATAATTTTACTTTTTCTAATATAACTTTCCCTATAAATTTTGCTTCCGTCCCTGACCCCAAAAATAATCAGTGATACATTATTTACAAATAGACTTGAAGTGAATATCAGATACCGGTAAAAAGCCGAAGCATTGTTCGAGAGCGGCGTCACATCTGCCTTTGCCGTGAGTTTGAAGCAAAGCATTGAGCAGGCTCGGATCAAAGCAAGGTTGGTTGAAAGCATAAAGCAAGAGCAGCAACCTCTTCAAAACCTACCCAACCAATTAGCTTGTAAGGGATGATAACTTCAACTGTTATCTCAATGCGTGTGTGTGTGTGTAAAGCATAAAAGCTTGGTACCATTTATACCAAAACACAGGCAATATGGCAGTCAACAACACTTCTACGAGACGCATTTTCTGTTCTTGTACACACATTAAGCCCATAAGAAAAAGTAATGGACCGGAGCTATGTATTTCATTAGTACTCTCCGTCTAATTTGTCGGCTATTATGGAGCCTTGATTTTAGATGGTTGGAGACAGACATCGATTATGATTTGCTCTTGAACTTCCTCTGCGCTTTCAAGTCTACAACGATTACAGAGATGTTGTCCCTGCTACCTTTTTGGATGGCCAGCATCGAAAGGTATTCGGCTGCGGCCTGCGCGGCAGGGTCGACTCCTTTGCCTCTTTCGACCAGAGACGGAACACCGTTCCTTTTGTGCCAGAGCAGGATTCGCCGTCGAGCCACCTCACAAGCTTCGTCATTTGATATCACATCCCACAACCCATCGCTGGCTAAAATCAAACATTCATCTTCTCTAGCTCGAGGAATAAACATAACTTCCGGTTCCGGAATAATCCACCGTTTCAAATATCTGTCACCTGTGTGAATTAACATGAGGGAAAATTGTAAATGCAACACTATACTCAAAGTTCCATGTATCAAACAAGTACGATAAAGATCAAGCATTCGCATCTCGAAATGAAATGGAATACTTCGCA